AGTTAGGTAATGAAATTATTTAACCAAGTAGACAAAGCCACGTAAGATTCGATGTTTATTTCGGTAGAAACGTTCGGTTTCTCTATCACTGCTCGTCTTAAACCATTTCTTCGCCCGTGCTCCACTTGTCTTAAATTATAAAATGAAATAACTATTCTTCATTTTACTGTATGCATGTGCTCAGTTTGTTTGGATTGTTTGGATGTAAAATATTTTTTAAAAAATAAATTTTTTTATTTTTATTTTTGATGTTTGGTTGTCTTAAAATATTTTTTTAAAAAAATAATATTAAAACTTAACAAAAATAATTTACTAATTAATTTTTACAAAGTTATCTTTACACCCATTTTTCGATAGCTTCGACCTACATCTTTATCAAATATTAAAAAAATAAAAATAAAAAAATATATATTTTATCTAAACAAAAGAGTCCTTTTTTGAAAAAAAATATTTTTCGTCACAGAACCTCAATGACACTCATGAAAAGGACTAAAAATGAAATTAGATTTGTTTTCTACGTAAGCATGAAAAGGATTCCTATTGACTGAGTCAAAGATGCAATTTTTTCTTTGATAAAAATGTTGTGAATTTACTCTCCTCTGAAATACGGTCCTGTGATTTGATTTGCCAGACTATAGTGTGGTGTGAAATACTTGGTATAATTTGATGAATTATCGCACAAAAAAAATTGAAAAAACCTTCCATATTCATATTCATATTAATCAAAATTGACCGACTTTTAAGTCTTCCTCTTTGTTTGCGTGCATGACTTTGATTATAATAGGTTATTATATAATATAAAGTGCCATAATTGCCCTTAAATAAAATTATGTTTACATTTTGATTTTTTTCTTAATTGTTTATATTTTGATTTGTTACATGCTAACTTATAAATTTCGTGTTCAAGACAATTTAAACAAATATATACACACACGATTGTCCAATTTGAATCAGTTTAATTTTTCCAGAGCCCAAAATCAAAAATTAAAAGTTCCATTATGTTTAAAATAACCAGACGTGTTACATGCTTGCAGGGGCACATTATTAAAATTTTATAAACAAAAGTCATTTTTGAGTGGTGAAGGAACAAATTTAGAGGAGATCAAATTAATATATTCTAAATGATTTTTCTATGTTTAATTTACTAAAATATTAAATAATGTCAGTGAAATTAACATCACAAATACGTGCATCAATAATTGAAGTTCTTAAATCTTTAATGAATGGCTCCATTTGAATGCTACCTGCATCAATAATTGAAGTTCTTAAACCAAGTCAAAGTTGATGCAAATTTCTCTTTAATGGTCCAGTGTTTTGATTTGTCCTCATAGAGGTTTCAAAATAAACATCATGCGTTCTTTGTTTTAGTTGCTTTAAGTGATTATAATTGGCTTAACTGTTGTGTGGTGAGTTTGTGTCAATTGATGAATCATTTTCGGTCCTTTCCCTTCTCCTTCCCATTATTAATTTATATGTTCTGTCTAAAAAAAATGGCTTGGACTTTGAGATGACTTTAAATTATAGAAGAAAAAAAAAACTTCCATCTTCGTATTCATACTAATCAATGGTGACTCACTTTTAAGTCTTCCTGATTTGGTTGCTTGTTTGCATGACTTAGATTTTTCAAAAGATTACTTTAAATGCACCCATTTCATAAGCAAATGCCCAACTCAAAATAATGACTAAATATGAAATCTATGAGGAAAAAAAAAAATAGTGGTACACATGAAAACAACGACATTGAAATGACTCTTTTTAAATTTTCCAACTCCCTTCCCCGATCTCGATCCGTCGTCTCCTTTTTGCCCTCTTTTTCTCGAGGAAATTTTTATAATCTTTTCAAATTTTCCACTTTCCTACTCTTTATCGACTTTTAGTTTTAATTTAAAGGTAAATTAGATTTGACAAATTACATCGTTCAATGTTTATTTTATTTTTATTTTATTGTATTTTTTTTTTTAGTACTAATCAATGGTGACTCACTTTTAAATCTTCCTGATTTGGTTGCTTGTTTGCATGACTTTGATTTTTCAAAAGATTACTTTAAATGCAACCATTTCATACGCAATGCCCAACTCAAAATAATGACAAAATATGAAATCTATGAGGAAAAAAAAAAATTAGTGGTACACATGAAAACAGCGACATTGAAATGACTCTTTTTAAATTTTCCAACTCCCTTCCCCGATCTCCATCCGTCGTCTCCTTTTTGCCCTCTTTTTCTCGAGGTATAATCTTTTCAAATTTTCCACTTTCCTACTCTTTATCAAATTTTAGTTTTAATTTAAAGGTAAATTAGATTTGACAAATTACATCGTTCAACGTTTATTAGTTTAACTTCTCTTTAGGTTTTAGTGCGTGTGCTCAACAACACCCCTGTCATTTTCTGTTAGCAAATCTATTGAGCAAGTTTTATAAAATGATAAATATTTTACGTTTTCCTAGTATGAAAAGACAATAATAATCTTATTTATTGCTATATAATGTACTATTATTGTTAGATTTTATTTTATAATTGGTGAATTTTGGTGTCAAAATCTGTCCGATCGAGTTGTAATTTTTGTTTTATTTTGAGCCTGGATGTCGGAAGCGAAACAACAAATGCAACCAATATGCATTTAACTTTGATTCGTATAAGAATATCATGTTACAAAAGGTATGTTGGTGAGAATACTTTATTTTTTTTTAATCTTTGATGAGTTTTTGAGTTCGGCATTTAGAAAATTTTCATAGTTGTATTTTTACTAAAGTGCACTACCCTTTAGAAGCATGCTAGCAAGTAGGAGAGACCAAGAAACAGAGGAAGAAGCATGCTAGCAAGTTCGGTCGAAAGGAAGAGGTGCATGAATTTATTTTTTTCAATTATAATTATTATTGTTGTTGTTGTGGTTGCAACTTAAAGAAGACTTTTGAAAAATCAAAGTCAAGCAAAAGAAGACAAATTAAAATTAAAAGTAAGTCAAGAGGAGTGTATAGTTTGGTACAAGAGAAGAAATTTCCTCAATAAAAAGAGGAAATTTCCTCAAAAGAAGAACCATAAGCAAATAAAGATAGGTATTTATCCCCCATCTTTTCTTTCACGCTTTGATCCCTTCTAGGCTTTTTCAAGAGGACTCTAAAACACCTATTTTTTATTCTTTAAGGAGGTTGATGGGTTGAAAATTACATTCCGTTATTGTAGAGTTACCTGTGGGTTTGTATTGGAAATACTATGTAATGACATTTATATGGTTTAACAAAGTAAAGTAGAAGATTGAGTAGAATGATAATAAACCAGGAAGGTGCAGGGCTGGCCCTGAGATTCCAAATATTTTGAGAGGCCCCAGGCAAACTTTCAAATGTGAGGCCCTTAAGTTTCACAAGTGCAAAAAAATTATAAGAGGAATTTTCACACGATGTTTTCAAATTCTATAGCTAATTTAATTGTGCGCATGTGCATTGTGTATAAGACAATTAACTAATAACTATAATCTTCATTCATTAAATCTTCACATTCATTGACTAACTTCCTATGATCTTCATTCATGTTTATTGAGATTTTCTTCATTTGCTTTCACATTCATATGTTTTTCATTTACCAAATCTTCAACTAAACTCTCTATTTGTGTATTGCTCCTAAAAAACTTAAGATTATCTCCTTTTTGAGATTGAATCAATTATTGTTCTCTCTTCCTTTTTATTTCCTTTTTTCATGCCCAGATTCAAATTTTCTTGTAGACATAATGAAATCTCTTGAAATCTAAATAACAGGAACCATAATCAACATAAAACTAGACTTCAAAAAATAATAATAATAATTTGCTTTGTTTAAAGAAAATATATATTACCTCAATATGCAATGATTTGATTCAAGTTCAAGGCAAATAACCTCACGAGATCCTAAGAAGAGTGTCCTGCTAGCATGTGAAAGAAGATCACAATTAACATAAACCGGATGGAGATTCAAACAGAAACAATAATAACTAAGCATTGCCGATCATAAAAAAAAATATAATAAAAAAAAATTTAAAATCAAGCAGTTTGGTGGAATGATCTCCTGGCTGGAGTTTTCATTGGAATCTGGAGGAGAGGAGAGAAGACAAAACAGAGTATCCAAAATACAGTCCAAAAGTGGAAATGGGGAACAGAAAACTACAGTTTCTTTTTTACATTCATTGTTTATATAACTGCTAAAATTTGATGACTACATTGACAAAAATATGTGGAGATAAGGTGACTATATATAGAGGAGGCTGAACTTGTAGTGCTGAAGAAGTAGTGGGACTTTTAGGTTATATGTGGCATCCACTAGCATATATAGTTTTGTCTTTCACTCTTTATATTAACTACATTTTGTGTGTTTTTTTTGGGAGCCAATTACCCCTTTCTTGATTTCAGGATGAGGAATCAACTTTAGTAGCAGTGATTGATTGATCATTGCTACAGAAGACCTGTGCAAATTAATAGAAAAAACCGTTAACTTTTGTTTTGTTAAAGCCTGCTCTTGATTTCCATGTGTTTGTATATTATGATCTGATGGCAAGTGCTATTTTTAACTAAAATTCTAGCTGAGCCAACTTCAAATAACATCAATAATGGTGGTATGTATCTTCATATAAAACCCTTAATTTGGCACTTTTAAGTACGAGCATAATTTAGAGATCGAAAAAGTTAATTATTACCTCAACGGCTCAACCCACTAGAAGGGATCCTTAATTTTCGTAGGATTGAATGTGAAAATGCACAAAAACTTATGATGAAAAGGGGTATGATTGCTGCTGTTGTGAGATTGGAGTGGATTAGGGAGAGGAAAAAAAAAAGTGCCTGTCATAGATTATGGACTCGATTGCCGCCATGAAAGACACATGTAGAAAGGCAAAAGACAAATTTTTGCATTTAACCCCCTTGAATTAACAATATGGTGCCGAAAAAGCAAAAGACAACATTACCCTCAATTAAAACGACACAGTTTGAAGAATTATGCAAGCATTGATATATATATATATATATAGAGAGAGAGAGAGAGAGAGAGAGAGAGAGAAGAAGGGATAGATGGTCGGCCGTGGATGATGGCAACGGCGACGAGCTCGGATCCGAAGCCCTCTCCTCCGACGCCCACCGCCTCTCTGCCTTGCGCCGCCGTAAAACCCCCCAACTCCCCCTCATCTCCGGCGCTCCACCGGTTCGGGTACTTCGTCGATCTCAGCCTTGGTACCCATTCCCAGCGCCTTCTCCTCGTGGCCGACACCTGCAGCAACCTCGTCCGAAAACACGAGATGGATTGTTTGGCGCAAGATGTCCCATCCAAATCCCATTTTGACTCAACAAAGCTTTTTCCCAATCAAATTTTGGGTTTAGGGGCTGATCTTGGACGGACCCTTAATCGGGGATGAGAAAGATGAAACCAGACAAGACCCGTCGTCGACCCAAATCCGGCAAGCGCAGAACATGATAAGTTGGAGTTTTTACGTTGCCGGAGGTGGAATTTACCCGTGACCACGAGTATGGAGATGCGTGGTCATTGACCGTGATACATGAATTAGCTGTAACTGTTTGTTATTCAACAATGTCTAGTGTTGAAGATCCAAATACTGATATTACAAACAGCAATATATTGATTGCAGGGAGTAAATAATTTAGAAAAATTTAAGCGAACTATGTCGTAACTCAATTATTCTGATTTTTATAAACATTGAAAATTATTAATCTAATTTTTAATTTGTAGTCTTTTTTATTAATTTTTAGGCGGTGGTCGGCTGTGATGAGGAACTGCAGTAGGCAAGGTAGCGAGGACGAAACTGATGGCGGTTCGCTGCGGCGTGACTGGCGCAGCGGTGGGCGACGGCTGGTGCAGCGGTGAGCGACGGGCTCGGCTGTGGCCGGGGAGCAAGGGGGCTTCGGACGGCGGCCGGCGAGCAAGAGAAGACACAACTATCTCCATTAATACCGGCGAGCTTCATACTATAGCAACAATTCACCCAACACCACTCTCGCTCTCAGCAACAGCTTCATACTACAACCTCCACCATCCTCATCGACGCCGCTATACCCAATTTCCCAACCTCCGCCTGTCACCTAATTGAAGACAACCCAAGAAAAAACCACACCTTCAATTTCACCCACCACCACTTACCACTGCCCTTGATTTCACCCACCACCAGTCTCACCTTACCACTGCCCTCCATCTCTCTTTCTTCTTTCTCTCTCAAGTGTCACACGCTTAGAGGGGTGAGAGGCATCGATGAGGTTAATGATGGTGGAGATGTTTCGAGAGGTTTGGACACAGACTAGGACTCAAAGCTCAGTGTTTAGTTTGGATCTTTGAATTGTTCTGCGTTTGATTCTTTTGGCTTATCTGTAGATTGTGGAAATAGGTGTAATGATTCTGATCATGACCATGGGTACAATCACCAAATTTACAAATTATTCACCATCTAAATATTTCAATGTAAGAGAAATTTTATACTAATCAAAATTCTTTTCCACTGAAACATTTGATTTCTTTAATTGGTTCAAGAAGTATGACTATATATGTATATATTACTTCTTGATGAACTTTGATAAATGTGATCTCGTATGATTGAATAAAGTTCTATAGTGAACATAAATTTTGGAGAAGATGAACAGTAATTTGTAACTATATGTGTGTGTGTATATATAGACATGAGGATAAGGACGTGTTTGGGTGTTTAAAGGGTGTTTGGGTTTAATTGTTACAATAATAAGGGGCTTTAGTGTCTTTTCAACCTCACAAGGATATTATGGTCATTAAAATTATAGTGTATACCGGAACAGTGATGGATCCGACCCAAACTGTGATGGATCCGACCGGAACAGTGATGGATGGAGTGATCTGCAACAAATTTGTATAGTTGAGGGGGTTTTATGCAATTTTGATAATTTAGGGAGTTAATTGCAAGTTTCTCAATAGTATAAGGGGTTTTTTTGCACTTTTTCCTTTATTAAAATACTAAGAGAACCATAATATATTCTTTCAGCTTTTGATAGCCATCACACACAGTGACACACACACAAAAAAAAAAAAATCTAGTTTGGAAGCTACTTTTCACTATTGGAACAAAGGTAAAGGCCTGAATCAAACGAACCAAAGTTGGAACAAATCAAATGATGAGATGAACGAAAGAAAGAAACATATATAAAAGATCGATTCATGCAAAAGGAAAGAGAAGAGAGAAAGAGGATGAACATACCTTGTCACCTGAGAGCCAAGGCGATAGCGGAGGCTGCATCCTGCGGAGTGTCGAAGCAGATTGTGTCGTCTGAAACTTGCCCTAACTTAATAGTCCGTATGTGTTTTTTTTTCCATCCCCTATGGGCCTCAAAATTTGAGGCCTAGGCGACCAGGACTTGTCCTAACTTAATTTTTTTTTTTTTTTGTATCCTCTATGGGCCTCAAAATTTTGAGGCACTCTAAAATTTGAGGCCCAAGGTGACCGCCTTGGTCGCCTAAGGTTAGGGCCGGCCCTGCAACTACAACCACCACAGCCACACAACCAGCCGGAACACAGACATTTTGAGAAGCATGTTGATGAATTCCCGCCCATGATAATGGACTGGGCTTTGAGTTTTATGGTATTCACATTGGGCCAATATTTTGGACGATATGGACTTGAACTGCTTTTTATTTTTTGTTATTCTTTGGACTCGTTTTCTTTTCTTTCGCTTTTGTTTTGGCAAAGGGGCACATGGCCCATCCCTGGGAATACCCTGCATACTTATATTTTTCTTCTATGCATATTTATTTAACCCCCAAAAAAAAAACACACAAACACAAATTTAAGTTAGTGTTATTGGGACAGAGAAACATCCCCTCCCCTAACTTTAGTCGAAGATCTTTCCTGAACTATAGCATATGAAAATAATGATCTAATTAGTATAGATTAATAAAATCATGTGTGCATAATATGATTCGTGGAAAAAGAAAAAAAAAAAAAATGTCAAGATCCCAACTCACAGATTGTGTTGTGGTCTCGGCACCCATTCAGCCAATGAGTATGAAACCGTTTAGAATTTTTGTAATTGTATTAAGATGGTGAAATAATTAATTAATTTATTTTATTTCTTTGTCATTGGCCAAGAAATTCAAATACACTCGACATAATTTATTTTGAAAGGTAGAGAAGATACCACTAAGGCACAAGATTATGATAGTGGAGTAATTTTTCAACCATAATAATAATTTATTTTTTGATGCATATAATTTTTTTTTCAAATTCTCAAATAAAACTTAGAAATTTAATATTATGTTGGGATTGTCATAATAATAAATTAATATTCTCAAATAACAATAATAAAAAATAACGAAATGCATTAACAGTGAGCATTCAAGTCTTAAAAGGGTCGAATGGTTGCATGAATTTCTTGGGTACCACGATTCAGGAATTGTAATGGTTTGCCAAGTGCATTTTTCCAATAAAAAAGAAACAGTCAAAGATTTCATCAAAATATTAAAACCCCTCATTCTTCAATAGACATTTTGATTGCACATCAAAATAGCCGTTGAGAGGATGATCAGTTTCTCTCTTTCCTCTTCCGCCAAATTGATCCCGCCATCGCGCAAACCCATAAACCCTTCCCGCCAAAAATTATCATCCATCCAATCATTGAAGAACCCAAACTTCGAACCTCTCAAGAACCGTCCGATTCGTCTGGCCAATGTTGGCCACCTCCACCAAGCAATCTCCACCCTTGATCTCATGACCCAACATGAACTCGCCCCAGACCTCATCACCTACTCGGTCCTCCTCAAATCCTGCATCAGAACACGAAACTTTGAACTTGGAAAGCTTGTTCACAGCAAATTGTCCGAGTCAGGACTTGAACTTGACTCGGTTGTGCTTAATTCACTGATCAGCTTGTATTCTAAATGTGGGGATTGGGAAACTGCTAATTCTATCTTTGAGACAATGGGTGAGAGTAGAGACTTGGTTCATGGAGTGCAATGATCTCATGCTTTGCACATAATGGTATGAATTCAAAAGCAATATCTACATTCTTTGAAATGCTTGAATTTGGAGAGAACCCAAATCAAATTTGTTTTCCGGCTGTGATTCAAGCTTGTTCGAACGTTAATAATGCTTCGATTGGGAAAATAATTTTTGGGTCTGTAATAAAAACTGGGTATTTTGAGTCTGATGTGTGTGGGGTGTGCATTGATTGATATGTTTACAAAGGGTTGTAGTGACTTGAACTCTGCAAAGAAGGTGTTTGATAAAATGCCTGACAAGAATGAAGTTACGTGGACTTTGATGCTAACTAGATATTCCCAACGGGGTCATGCAAGATATGCCATTGACTTGTTTCTGGATATGGTATTGAGTGGATTTAAACCAGACCGCTTTACTTATGGCACTGTCATTTCCAGTTGTGCAGAATTAGAATCATTCAATTGGGCAGCAATTGCATTCTCAGGTGATTAAGTCTGGATTGGCTATGGATGTTTGTGTTGGGTGCAGTTTGGTGGACATGTATGCAAAGTGCGTGGGTGATGGATCTGTGAATGATTCAAGGAAGGTATTTGATCAGATGCCTGATCATAATGTCATGTCTTGGACTGCAATTATGAATGGGTATGTGCAAAGCGGAGGTCACGATAAGAAAGCTATTGAACTATACGGCAAGATGATTCAGGGTCAAGTTTTACCCAATCATTTCACATTTTCCAGCATTCTCAAGGCATGTGGAAATCTTGCTGATTCAGGTATGGGTGAACAAGTTTATACCCATGCAGTTAAACTGGGTCTTGCTTCAGCTGATTGCGTGCGAAATTCTCTTACTAGCATGTATGCTCGATCTGGTAGGATGGAAGATGCATGGAGAGCTTTTGATGTTCTATTTGAGAAAAATTTGGTTTCCTACAACACTATTTTTGATGGCTATGCCAAGAATTTGAATGCTGATGAAGCCTTTGAGCTTTTCCATCAAATAAAGGATGCTGGAATCATGTTTGATGCTTTCACATTCGCCAGTCTATTGAGTAGAGCTGCAAGTATAGGTGCCGTGAGTAAGGGTGAGCAAATCCATGCTCGCTTAATTAAAGCCACGTTCGAGTCAAACCAATCCGTTTGTAATGCTTTGGTCTCTATGTACTCTAGATGTGGGAACATAGAAGCTGCTTTTCAAGTTTTTAATGAAATGGAAGATCGGAATGTAATATCGTGGACTTCAATAATCACTGGGTTTGCAAAACATGGATTTGCAAGAAGAGCTTTGGAAATGTTCTACCAAATGCTTGAGGCAGGTGTAAAGCCGAATGAGATTACATATATTGCTGTTTGATCAGCTTGTAGCCATGTCGGTATGATTAATGAGGGATGGAAACTCTTTAACTCAATGTTCAAAGAACATACAATAAGCCCAAGGATGGAACATTATGCATGCATGGTTGATTTATTTGGACGATGTGGCTTCCTCGAAAAGGCTGTTCAGTTCATTGACTCAATGCCTTTCAAGGCTGATGCTTTGGTCTGGCGCACCTTGCTTGGAGCTTGGCGAGTTCATGGTAACACAGAGCTTGAGAAACATGCTGCAAAAGAGCAAACCCCAAATGATCCAGCAGCATACATTTTATTATCAAATCTGTATGCTTCAACTGGTCAATGGGAAGATGTAGTGGCGATCAGAAAAGGCATGAAAGAGAGAAATTTGGTTAAGGAAGCAGGCTGTAGCTGGATAGAGACAGAAAACCAGGTTCACAAATTTTACGTGGGGGACACCTCTCATCGCCAAGCACAGGAGATATATGAAGAACTAGGTAATTTGGCTCTCAGAATAAAGGAGATGGGTTATGTCCCTAACACAGATTATGTTCTTCATGATGTGGAGGAGGAACAGAAGGAACAGTATTTGTTTCAACACAGTGAGAAAATAGCAGTAGCATTTGGTGTTATAAGCACATCCAAGTCGAAACCCATAAGGGTTTTTAAGAATCTTCGTGTCTGTGGAGATTGCCATACTGCAATCAAATACATATCGATGGCAACAGGGAGAGAAATAATAGTAAGAGATTCAAACCGGTTTCATCATATGAAAAATGGGGTGTGTTCCTGCAACTACTACTGGTGATTATGTTATATTGTTTTGAAATGAATGGAAGTGATGGTCACATTGAGATGGGAGTTTTGTATTCAGTGGAAAAATCTAGTGCCTGTGTTACAATTTTTCTGATCTGCAGTGGTGGGGATTGGTTAAGGAAAAATCCAAAGGGATCAGTAAGTCCGAATTAATATGATGGATTGCTTGCCATGTAAGTTGGAAGCATTAGAAGGGTTCTCCACTGACTCGTTCTGACAACTTGCGTCTGGATATTCTATTTGCATCTGATTTTACCCTTCAGGATCCATCTTCAATGGGTGGAAGGATATGAACTTGCTTTCAGCACAGGTCAGGACTCAGAAGAGGGGGAAAGCTTCCGTCATTGTTAGATAGATGTACATGTACAAGCTGCAATATATTTTCATATTGGCAAGTA